AATTACAGAAGAAAAGGCATGAAAGCTGGAAAATGAAATATGGATAACAAGGAATCCTCAAGTAGGCTGCTGCCTCATATATGTTCAGACAGAGAGAAAAGAAGGAAAAAAAAGGAGGCATAGAATTTCGGAATTCCCACAATAGGAAGAAAATGACTGCATTGTGCAGCCAGGACAACCTCGTGCTTATTTTTCGCATGTGCCATTTAGAAATAAATCCATTTTAAGATCTGAAACAATAACAACATGGTTATTAAAGTGCAATATGTGATTTATAATCATGAGTAAATGAAAATTGCCACATAGACCCCCTTTAAGTTAAAGAAAGACAGAGATAGATAACAAATAAAATTTGAATATGTCTTATGGAAAAGGGTTGCATCACTGCAGCATAATTTAATATGGTAAGATTTATCGTGGAGGAGATGAAGATAATACATAGAACTTACCTACCTACTTTTCTGCCTTGAAATTGGAGTTATGAATTTCAAGAACTTCATCAAGAAAGGTATTCTTGAATTTAAACATCTTTAACATGTTCAATAATTGTGGAGGAAAAATTTATAAATCTAGGTTTATAATAGCTTCGAAACTTCATTGAATCTTCTTGATATAAAAATGGATACAATTCCTGCTCATTTTAAACAAGATTCACTCCCTCAAAGAGTTAATCAAGATTAAAAAACAGTTCAATAAGTATAGAAATTCCATTCTGTTTGTTAATTCCTTCTCCTAGTCATTCCCAGTTAACAAGTTCAGAATTTTTTGAGTTATGCATGTCATTAATCATTTCTTTATATTTTTTTCCGTATTAGATAATCAATTGATCACAATTTAATTACCTCATGATGATCTCCACTGGCTTCCTTGGTTCTAAGATCTATCTAGGGCATGAATCCCCGATACTTGAGCGTATAAGGGCCGCTCTCGATAGCGCGATCGAAATGGCTATGCACTTTATGCTTGCCCCTTCCGCTCTGGTCCAAAAGTGTGAGCTCGAAGAGAGCCCTGACGTCGGTGCCCTCAGTAGGTAGGGCAACGAAAACGGACACATAGGTAGAGTTGTCTTCCGGGTTTTTACCATCGGGATAGACGTAGATAGCCCACTGGTAGCCGCCGACGGTGAAGCTCTCACTGGCTATGTGCTTCCCGATGCCCATGGCCTTGGCCAACGAGTAGCCCTTGATAGTGAAACTGTGAGAGCCGTTGACGGTCTGAGTCACCGACTGGGAGCTTGTGGGGGAGCCGACTGGGGAAGGCATGGGTGCTGGAACGCTCGGGTAATTTCTCCGGGGTAAACGATGGAAAATTTTGAGGGGAGAATGAAGGGATGAGGAAAATGGAATCTGTGTGCTCTTTTGAAGATATGAAATGTGTGCGGGGGTCGGTGGGACCTTTCTTGGACGCCAACACAACGGTTTCTTCTTTGTACTTTCAAGTGTTTATTTTGTCTTTTCACTGTTAAATTTTTTTTTTTATATCATTTGGCCAAGGCAACTTACCTCCGTTATCATCCGATATCTCTCCCTCACCTTACCTTCTTCACGTATCATGCAATTTAAAATTAAAATTTTTTATTTTTAATAAAAAAATTACAATTCATCTATTTAAATTATTAGCTCACGATTTAGAATTAAAAAAATAAAAACCTTATAATGAT